AGACGCCTGTAGTGTCTCATGCCTGGAGTCCCAGCTACTCTGGAGGCTGAAGCAGGTGGATTGCTCGAACCCAGGAGTTCAAGTTTGCAGTAAGCTATGATCGCAGCACTGCAATCCAGCCTGGGCGAAAGAGCGAGACACTGACTCAAAATAAAATAAATAATAAGTTCACAAGTGAAGAAATAAATTTTTATGAAAATAACCATATTTTCCAAAGGAAAAGAAAGGCCAAGTGAGGAGAGTGGCGTTGCTCCCCATTTTTGTGACTCTCTTTAATGTCTCACTTTCTAGAAGACAGCTGAATTATCAGACCTGCTTTCGCATTGGGTCTTGTGACAGACTGTTTTGATTGACATCTATGAAGAAAATCTGGCATCACATAGATATGTCATTGGAAAAGAGGTCCCCACAGCACCCCTAAAATGGTCTTAAGGGTGCTTCCCCAAAGTCTACAGACCACACGTTGAGAAATGGCATTCTAACCACCCTGTGTGAATCTCTGCTCACTTTTTGGAAACACGCACCTCTATTCCCAAGCCTGTCATCTCTCCCCATTAATAGCCATCTGTCCCCTGGTTATCCAAGCTCCAGTCATGGAGGGCCCATTTCTTTGAGATGCCATGTGCTGCCCTGTGCTGGGTCGGGCAGCTCAGTAGGGAGCCAAGAGTGACTCAGCCACACTCTCCGAGTGTCACTCCCCACCAGCAGTGACTCAGACGCACCTGCTGGTGTTCCCAGACGTCCCGATGAGGAACTGTCCACAGGCACAGTTCCTAGAGGTGGCACCGTTAGACCCATCATGAGGAAAATAGGATCGTCCTCAATGCCTCGTGCTTTTTAGGATGGACCAGCCCCTCCAAGACTAGTGCAGTGCACAGGAGGAGCTGCAGGGACCACACCCGGATCTGATTCTTCCGCTTCCCTGGCACATGCAGCAGGCCCCCGGTGCCTCCTCCCATTCTGTGTCTTCCTGAGAGCGAGGGCAGGCCATGGGCGCAGAGTCAGAGAGGAGCCTGTTCCCAGGGCTGTGGCCCCGGCTGCAGCCTCCTGAGACACCTGAGGATCTGGTGAACTCTTCTCCCTCACACCCAGTCCCTGGGGTAGTCCCAGCACCTGGTGACACCATCTTCCCCAAGAACCTGGCTTGGGGAGGGGGCATGGAGAGGACATCAAGGAGGCAGGAAGTGGCCCAAGGTCCTCAGGACTATGAAGTGCCCTCAGTTAGCACAAGCATCCTGTGGACCTAGGTGGGGTCGAAATAAAGCAGTAAAGCAATAATGTGTGCCATGGCCTTTGGCCAGCCTCTCTCTGGCTTTCCCTGTTGTAGCCCTGGGACCTTGGGGAGCCCCACCCATCTGGAATTCACAGGGTGGGCCAGCGTTGGCGTGACTCACAGTGACCCTGAGCTGCCTTTCTGGGAGACCCTCCTCCTTCCCTCCCCATCCTGTGTCTACACGCCTTTTCCCCTCCCAAGCAACAACCTCAGGAACCCAGACAGCACTCCAGAGAGGCGGAGCCACAGTCAGCAGCTGGGCGCCCAGGGGGACAGCACGGGAAATAGCGGGAGCGTGGGCTCCAGAGAGGACATTTGGCATCTTCACAGCCCTGCCCAGCCTCCTGGGTTGGCATCTGGGATTTTCTTGCTCCTTCCAGGCACAGCCTAGACTGGCTTGGAGATGTAGGGGGTCCAGGAAGATGGGGCAGGGCCGGTAGGAATGCAAGAAGCCCAGGCAGCCATCTAGTCCAGAGCTTTCAAGCTTCTCTTTGGAAGAGAGCTGCATTCGTCTGTCTGTCTGTCTGTCTGTAACCAGGAGCTGCTCTGTAAGAGCCGCAGCCCGCAGCCCTGCTGGCTCCTCTCACCTCCCTCTTGTCCACCCCAGCCCCCAACCCTCAGCCCCAAGATCTTGGAACACACTTTAACAATCACTAGTGCAGTTCATCTGCCCATTTCACAGATGGAGAAATGGATCCTAAGAGGGAAGTCTCTTGCCACAGACTTACAGTGAGTTGGGGCTGGTCAGGGCCTAAAACCCAGTGCTATTTCCCAGGGTCATTCACCGACAGACAGCAGGGACAGCCATAACAGGGAGACCACTAGGTGCCAGGGGTGCTCACAGAGGAGAAGGGTGCCCAGGAGCAAAACAGAGGAGGGACAGAGGCTAGCATTAAGTCACCAACCACAGAGGAGCAGCCCAGCCTGCTCGACGGACTGTAAAAGAAAAATAACTCCATGCCTCTGGCCTCCTCTGGCCACGTGGCCTCCAGTCTAGCCTCTGATGCTGGGAATAACCACCCTTCTGTTTCCACCTGATCTGCCCTCCTTTCCCAGCTCCCCGTCCCCACTCAGGCCCTCTGAGACCGCAGAACACAAGCCCTTTGCGTTTCAGCTCTCCTGTGTCCCCAGCCTCCTTGCACCCACGGAGGGCGGGGCTGTGATTTTGCACATTAGTGGGTGATAGTTTGTGTACTGGGGTCTCTCGTGTCCACACAGTTCCAACACACCCTCCTGACCATGAGGCCAGCCTGGACTCTGTGTGCCCAGATCCCTGCCCAGCCCCTGATTTCCGCATTTTTCTAGGGAGAGAGCTCGTGGCTTTTGACACATTCTCAAATGGGTCTGTGGTCCAGGAGACTGAGAACCCCTGCAGAAGGGGAGGACGGGCGTTCCAGGGAAGAGTGGTCAGAAATGAAGTAGAAAGAGCACTGCAGCTTCCTCTCTTCCCTGCCAGAGACTTTACGTGTATTGCTTAGTCTTTCCATTACCTCCTTGTGATGCTGGGGTCACTGTCCCCATTTCTCAGATGATGAAACTGAGGCTTAGCAATGTCAGGTTGTTTGCTTCAGGACACAGCCCTGGCTGAGGGATTGAAAAAGCCAGGTCAGGGCCAGAGGTCAAAGGCGAGTATTGCCCCTGCTTCTACAAGGGGGTGCAGCTCTAGAACCTGCACCGGCCAGTGCTTCAGAAGCCTCCCATGACTGCATCCATACCAGACCTTGAGCCCCCAGGTCCTGGTTCCCAGCAAACCTGGCACAGGTCCTGACAGTCTGCCTCCAAGGTTAATTCTTGCCACATGGAAAACACAGTCCTCACAACTGGTCTCTTGTGTCCTCATTGAAGCATGAATGAAGCTATAATGAGGGTGGGGGCAGAGTGCCCCCTCACCAATGCAGGTAGGACCCAGCTCGCAGGTGGGCTCCAAGGGGGTGCCCCTCAGGAAGCTCCTCCCACCCCTGGGCATGACACTCAGGTCCTCCAGAGCCCCCAGCAAAGACTATTTGCTTGTAGCAATGTCAGCTGCCAGACCACAGAGCCCGTCCCTGCCCTCCATCTGCCCAGCTCACCCACCCTCTCACCATCCCTTGACCAATAAGAGCAGTGCGATCTGCAGAGCAGGCCTAAGGCTGAGGCCGCGCCCCGCCTCCAACCTTCCTGAAATCCCAACAGCACAGAAGGCGTGGGCCTTGGTGTCTCCATCTGTAGACAGCGTATGACGATGTCCAGCCTGCTTGCCTTCCAGGGATTTCTAAGAATCACGTGGGAAAGTTATTTTAAAAGTTTAGACTACAAACAAAATGACAAGGAGGAAACTCAGCTGGTCACCCACACATTCCCAGCCCAGATGTCCCGTCCCCAGGGTGCTGGACCCTAGCCATCTTGGCTGGGAGCCTTTCTCCTCTGGGCTGTGCTGGGGCAGCTGTGGGAGTCCCAGAGTGAGGACAGCCCGCAGTGGGTGGGCCTCCTTTCCCCCCCGACCCAGGGATGCCTCTTGTTCCCCAGGATGGTGTGAGGACAGTCCCCAGATGGGAATGTCATCATTGCCTGGTCTGTGCAAGGCACCAAACTGGGGGCAGGGACCGCAGTGCGGATCATACCCAAGGATGGCAGAAATTGGAGGGGGTGCCCTTGAGGAAAGGGAGCAGTTGTGCCCACCCCTTTCACATGGAGTGGCATGAAGCACAGTCCCCACCCCAGGGCAGGCGCATCACGTTTCCTTCCTTCTCCAAAGCAGATCACTCCATTTTAAGCTCAGGGGTCTCATGACCTACTTTAGAGGAAGGTCACAGGATTTTTCAGGGCCTGCTTCAGGGGAGAACAGCACTCAGAGAGACTTTCCTGCGTCGGCTGCCTCCTCAGGTGCCAGGGTGCCATTTTCTGGGGTGGTGTTTTCTGAGCCTCCAAACCTGATCCCTCCCTCAGACCCAAGGAAGCCCTGCTCCAGCGGTTTCTGCTGCGGCCCTGTCACACTTGGTGGCCCTTGCCTCCCGTCGGAGAGGGAGGACTCCACTCAGTAACTTTCTCAGGGAGTCCTGGTGGGGTTTCCCTCTGGGTGCCTGGCAGGCTTTCCTTAGAATCCCACCACTCAGAAACCCCCAAGGCAAAAGAACACTGGGGCTGCATCAGCTACAGAAGAAGCAGTACAAATAACATCAGAAGCAGGAAGAAAACACAAATAAATATCAATAAACCATCCTGTCATAAGGCAGTTTTGGGCCAGGCGCGGTGGCTCACACCTGTAATCTCAGCACTTTGGGAGGCCGAGGCAGGTGGATCACCTGAGGTCAAGAGTTCAAGACCGGCCTGGCCAACATGGTGAAACCCTGTCTTAAAAAAATAATGAAATTTAAAAAACAAGGCAGTTTTGCCAATTCCAAATTTTGCCATGATGGAGAAGCAGCTGCTCACACCGCAGTGGGCTACCCTTGGCTTCCTCCCCTGGAAAACCAGAGAGACAAAGGTCAGGGGCTGTGCTAGGAGAGGGCCACAAGCGAGGACCTGCAGAAACTGCAGAGCCTGCAGAGGCCAGTCCACCCTCTTCCTCAGCTCGGAGGTCAAGACAAACAGGCAGGGCCTGCCCCAGCCCGAGGGAAGTTCTGCAGACACTCCCGCTGGGGCTCTGCAAGGCAGAGTCACTCCAGTGGCCTGTGCCTACTTCTGGGGATGCTGGGTGAGCTGGGTGGGACAGCCAGCCCTGACCTCTGGGCATCCTTTGCTCTTGCAGGACCTGGGCATGGAGTCGACCTCGCTGGATGACGTTCTGTATCGCTATGCCAGCTTCCGGAACCTGGTGGACCCCATCACACATGACCTCATCATCAGCCTGGCACGCTACATCCACTGTCCCAAGCCGGTAAGGCAGCTGTGGTCCAAGCCAGCCAGGTCCTGGGGTGTGCCGTGGGTGCCTTTCTGGGCAGAGCAGCTCTGTGCCCAAGGAGGACTGGCAGACATTGCCCAGGCCCAAGGAGGATAAGCCAATCCTTCAGGCACCAAGAGCCTGAGGTGCTCTCCCTTGGCGCCACCAGCACAAATTGGTTTTGTTTGGCCCAGGGGGTGTGAATTCACTGCCAACACTTAAAAACCAGAGTTTTTCACATGATCCCTATATTCAGCTGCCCTTGAAAAACTGAAGTTCCAGCAACTTGAAGCCCTCATTTCTGCAGGGCTGCAGCTAAGTAGCCATCCCTGTTACATGGGCCAAGGCCACCACATACAGTTGTATAGGTTGTACCTTGTACAAAAACATGCATACAGAGAGGTGGCGGGGTGGGGGGAGGCAGGGGAAAGTTCAAATCCAGCCCTCTCTCTACCCACCAAATCGTGAGCCCTGGTGCAAGCCGGTGTCCCCTGGAGGTAAACCTGTTTGCACTAAGGTGTCATAGAAGGCTGGCCGTGGCCCTGCAAGGGGATGTCCACTTTGCCTCAGTCCCCACCACTCCCAGATGTCTTCACCTCTGAGGCTGAATGTTCTTTGACATCCTCCCCTTCGCTCATGTCCTTTCCTGCCTTGCCCTGGAGCTCGGAAGGGAAAGGTCCATGGCTCTCCAGGAAAGGTCCTTGGCTCTCCAGGCTCCAGATCTGCAGCTCAGCCCCTCCTGGATGGGAAGTTCTGCCCCATTCCTGCAGCTTAGGTCTAAGCTTCCCCAGGGCTATGCAGCTGGAGCTGTTGGGAAGGGAGGGCCGGGCAGGGCCATTTTCACACTTGAGTGCTTCTCTGTTGCTTTGAATTTTTCTGTCTCGTGGCTCAATTTCCAGTGGCTTCCAAAAGAAGTGCTTCCCCCCTGGCAATCAGGAAACCAGAGCAGGACCAAGGGGTGCGGGAGGGAAGCTCTTCCTTTTGATGTAGGATCTGGGCCAAGAGTAAGATGGTTCCCAAGCCCAACCCTCGCTCGGCCCGGGCACAGATTTGACTGTGGTCCTACAGTGAGCTGGAGCCTTGCTCTGGAAAGGCATTTCCTGGGGCTGAGCTCCATCTGCGCTTTGTTGAGAGCCTTCTCTCTGACTCTGGGACTACTTGGTGCAAAGGCTCTGAAGTGGGGCTCAGCCATGGAGGGCTGGGAGCTGGCCAGGGCCAGATCGCAGCACTGCAGAAGGCAGGGATACCGGGCCCAATGGGAGGGGAAGGAAAGCTGGTGATGAGGGAGCCTGGAGGCCTGACTGGTGCCAGGAGCTATGGGGAGCTGGCTGGGGCCGACGCCTCCGACACCTCTCATTCAGTTCCACCTGGTCCTGCCTGGGCAGAGGGGAAGGGACGGGAGTCAGGCCTGCGAGGAGGCCCTGCGGGTGCCAGACCCTGCCTTTCCTAGAGCGGGAATCGAGTCGCTCACAGAGGAGAGGGTGAAAGGTGATGGGGCTCTCAAAAAAACAAAAAAGAAATAGGGCTATATTTATGCACACCTTTGAGTTGAGGAAAACAAAATTCAGGTAATCCAGTGATCTGAGCAAGGTTACACCTCGAAGGAGAACCACAGGTGTGATCTGGGCCCATGCAGTAACCCAGAGCTGGGCGGGACACAGGCCCGAGTTCCCTGAGTCATCAGTGCCCACGGGGGCAGAGGAGGGGCCTGGTGGGAGCAGCTGAGACCCCACCCTTCCCCACCTTCCCCCTCACAGGATGCCTCACGGAAGGTCTGTGTGGGGAGAAGGACCCACCCACTCAGAGAGAGAGAGGCAGGCTCCAGTAACAAAAAAAAGAGAGGCCAGGGAGTGGGTAAAGGCCATGGTCAGACCCTGTGAGACAGGGCCAGGCAAGGCCCGGAGGAGGGGCGGGAACTCCTTCCCTCTGATCTTTCCTTTCCATCTGGGTAGGGGCGGGGCAGGGTGGGGGCAGTGCATACCTGGGTTGTCATGGTCCATCCAGGTGACTGTAACAAATTATCATAGACTGGGAGGCTTATAAACAGTAGAAATTTATCTCACACACTTGTAAAGGCGGGAAGTCTGAGATCTGGGTGCCAGCCTGGTTGGCGACTGGCGAGGACCTTTTTCTGGGATGCAGACAGTTACCTTCTTGTGTCCTCACATGGCAGGAAATGGGCAAAGGAGCACTAATCCCATTGTGAGAGCTCCACCCCCACCCATCACCTCGCAAAGGCCCCACCTCCGAATACCATCACCGGGGGATTAGGTTTTAACAGACGAATTTTGGGAAATACAAACTTTCAGTCCATTGCATGGTGTAACCCTTCTCAAACCACTTAATTACCTGGACTTTGTTTTCCTCAAAACAGAGCCAGGGCCAGCCAGAGTGGGTCAGCCCTGCTGAGGACCAGAGACCTGACGGCCCCTTTCATGCCCATGTGGCAAGTGAGGCTCTCTGGATGAGGCAGGGTGGGAGGTCCCCAAGCTGGTCAGAGGAGCAGCCCCTCTCCATCCATCCCAGCTCTCTGAGCTGACTCGGGGCTGACCAAGACGTCCTGCTCAGAGCAATTTGCATCTGAGAAGTTCCCACGTTATGGGTCCAGAGATTCAAAATCCTTCAGTGAGGGGCTGTGCTGTGGCTTAATTAAAACCCAGACTCCTCATCTGGCTTTGCCTGAATTCCTGAGCTCCCCTCTCCCACTTGCCACCCTGCGGGCTCTGCTTTAGCTTGTGGGCCTCCCTCCTCTCTGCTCCTGACACCTCCACACCCTCTCCTACCTTAGGAACTTCACTGCTTCCTCTGACTGCTCCAGCCTCCTCTGTCTGAGCTTCCTTCTGCTGAGTTCAGACTGAGCCTCCAGCCTCTAAGAGGCCTTTGTTGACAAGCCTGCCTAAGGTAGGCTACTGATCTGCCTGTCTTGAGCCCCATTTATTTTTCCATTCATTTCTCCGTTTTACTTACTGGTCTCTGAAATTATCTTGCTTATTTATTTGTTGGCTAATTTATTGTGTTTTCCCCACTAGAATATAAACTCTGAAGGGAAGAGTGTCTGTCTTGTTCACAGTTCCATTCTGCACCAGGCAGGAAGCAGGCGACATGTTCCCTTGTGAAATTTGAAGAGAGTTTAGTAAAGGGTTGAGGACAGGATAAAGGAAATCAACAAGGGATGTTGAGACATCCAAAGACAGCCGCACTGGGAAGCCGTTTCACAGGAGGGCAAGCCGTACTGTCAGAGGCAGGGTGAGAACACGTGGCCTGGAACCACGCTGCGTTATCCATTGCCGTATATCAAATTACCAGAACTTAGTGGCTTAAAACAACAGATGTTTATTGTTATACTCTCTGTAGTCAGGATTGCAGGGGCGGCTGAGCTAGGTAGCTCAGCTTTGGGTCTCTCAAGACATGGGTCGGGGCTGCAAGTATCAGAAGGCTTAACAGAAGTTGGCAGGTCCACTTCCAAGCAAGGCGGCACACTCGCCCCATAGCCTGTCCATGGGACTGCTTGAGTGTCCTTGAACCGTGGCAGCTGGCCTATCCCACAACAGGTGATCATATAGAAGCCATGATGCCTTTGTTTTTTTCTTTTCTTTTTCTTTCTTTCTTTCTTTTTTTTTTTGGGGGGGGGGGCGGGGACAGAGCCTTGCTCTGTTGTCCAGGCTGGAGTGCAGTGGTGTCATCTCAGCTCACTGTGACCTCTGCCTCCCGGGTTTAAGCCGTTCTCCTGCCTCAGCTTCCCAAGTAGCTGGGATTACAGGCGCCCACCACCACGCCCAGCTAATTATTTGTATTTTTAGTAGAGATGGGGTTTCACCATGTGGGCCAGTCTAGTCTCGAACTCCTGACCTCAGGTGAATGGAGGGCAGTGGAGAGCTGTGCTTGTCAGGTCCTGGAGCAGTTACAGAGGTGCCTGGGGAGTGAAGATGGCAGGTGGTATCACTGCCTGATGGCTGAGACAGAGTAGGCTCGGGTGCTGGGACCCCTCCCAGGTCAGCCTGCAGGTCCGCATGTCATCTTTCCTGACAGGTTAATGAGAAGCCCCTCAAACACGTTCTGCCCCAGGACCTGGGCAGCCTCTCTGGGAAGGTCTGGAGAGGCTGCTGCCCTGGCCTGCACTCATAGTCACCTTGACTGTGCCACATCCCACTCCTGCCTTCTTCAGGGATGTGGGGAGGGCTGCAGTGAGTTGATTCTGCACACAGCCACTGAGCCTTCTGCATGAGATCATGCTGCACAGGTGGGTTGGCTCCAGCGAGAAAGAACGTGTGTCCTGCAGATACTGAGGGGTCTTGTGGGGCCACAGGCAGCCAAGTTAGACCAAGGCGCTAGAACTACAGATAAGCACGGTGCAGAGGCCCTCCATCCCTCCTCCCTGCTCCACGCTGCCTCCCTCTCCATTCCCTCTGCACAGACTGCTCTTCCCCGTGCCACATGGTAGGGAATGTGGCTGGCTCTGGCTTCCAGGTAACTTCTCAGGGTTCCAGCCCCTGGGAGTTAGGGTATGTGTGGCTCAGTGTCAAGTCCAGCTTCGAGGGAAAGGGCTAATTGGCTGTACTGTGTCAGCACCCACTTCTGGACCAGTCCACGTCAGGGTCTGGTTGCACGGGACCTATGTGACATATGGTGCCTGTTGTCACAGAGCTCTGGGCCAGGGTTTCATCAGGGCACTTGTCTGCTCTGCACCTGGGAGGCAGCTGTTTCTCAACATTGAAACCACTCAGGAAAGACAGTTCCTCCTCCTCCACCTCCACCTCCTCCTCTTGCTCCTCCTACTCCTCCTCCTCCTCATTTTCCTCCTCCTCTTCCTCCTCCCTTCCTTATCTTCCTCCTTCTCATCTTCCTCCTCATCTTCCTCCCCTTCTCCTCCTCTTCCTCATCTTCCTCCTCCTCATCTTCCTCCTCATCTTCCTCCCCTTCTCCTTCCTCCTCCTTCCTCCCCTTCCTCCTCCCCTTCCTCCTCCTCCCCTTCCTCCTTCCTCTTCCTCCTGCTCATC